TTATTGATATAGTGGCATATGCTCTTCCAGTTGTTGATGATGATATCTCTATCACTTACCAAGAAGTAATACAAAGATTGGAAAGTGATAAGTGGAAAAGTGTCATGGATGAAGAAATGTAATCTCTCCAAAAGAACAACATTTGGAAACTGACACAATTACCGAAAGGTAAAAGAGTAATTGGATGCAAGTGGGTATTTGCAAAGAAAGATGGATCTCATAGCAAGAAAGATGTTTGCTACAAGGCACGGTTGGTAGCTAAAGTCTACGCTCAAAAGGAGGGAATCGACTACAATGAAGTATTTTCCCCTGTTGTGAAACATTCCTCCATTAGAATATTGTTGGCCTTGGTAGCACAGTTGAATTTGGAGCTAGCTCAACTTGATGTAAAGACGACTTTCTTGCACGGTGATTTAGAAGATGAGATATATATGACTCAGTCAGAAGGATACAAAGATGGTGGTTGTGAGAAATGAGTTTGTAAGTTGAACAAAACGCTATATGGATTGAAGCAATCTCTGAGGCAGTGGTACAAGCGATTTGATAGCTTTATGAGGAGGCAAAAGTGCACTAGAAGCAAATATGATCATTGTGTGTATTTGCAAAAACTCAAAGATAGATCTTTCATTTATCTTTTCTTATACGTTGACGATATATTGATCGCTTCGAAGAGTCAAAAGAAGATAGACAAATTAAAGGCTCAGTTAAATCATGAGTTTGAGATGAAAGATCAAGGTGAGGCTAAGAAGATTCTTGGTATGGAGATAAGTAGAGATAGACAGATAGGGAAGCTTTGTTTAACTCAGAAGCAGTATATAAGAAAGGTATTACAATGTTTTGGCAAGAATGAAAATACCAAACATGTAAGTATCCCACTAACTTCTCATTTGAAACTTAGTTAATAGTTATCTCCTAAAACTAACGAAGAACGAGAGTATATGGCAAAAATTCCATATGCTAATGCAGTTGGGAGCTTGATGTATGTAATGGTGTGTACGCGTCCTGACATTTCACAAGCAGTTGGAGTTGTGAGCAGGTACATGCATGATCCTGAAAAAGGACATTGGCAAGCTGTGAAATGGATTCTATGGTATCTCTAACAAACTGTGGATGTTGGTTTAGTTTTTGAACAGGATGAAACACTTGGTCAGTGTGTGGTTGGATATGTTGATTCCGACTATGCTAGTGATTTGGATAAGCGTTGATATGATGACCAAGGTGGTAACAAATCTCCATCTTGGCTTGAAATTACCAAGATGAATTTTCCAACTTGCCAAATTTGACAATTTACAAGCCAAACATAACAAATCTCCACCTTGGCTTGAAATTACCAAGCCTACTCAACTTCTTCAACTCCCCAAATTTGATGTTGTGCCTCTAATTGCATTCACAAGCGCCATATACCCGAAGGTGCTCAAACTTCATAAAATTGCAACAGCAGTAAATACTACAGATATGATGACCAAGGTGGTAACAATAATCAAGTTCAATCATTGTTTGAACTTGATTAACATCCTGAAATTTGAGCACCTTCGGGTATATGGCGCTTGTGAGCGCAATTCGAGGCACAACATCAAATTTGGGGAGTTGAAAAAGTTGAGTAGGCTTGGTAATTTCAAGATAAGGTGGAGATTTGTTATGTTTGGCTTGTAAATTGTCAAATTTGGCAAGTTGGAAAATTCATCTTGGTTGGTGGCCAACTTATTGGAAAATTCATCTTTGGTAGGTGGCCAACTTTGCACATGGGAATTTCATCTTTGGTCCCTAAAATATTAGGTTATTTATAAGTTTAGTCCTTAAAACTCAACTATAAATAGGTCTAAGTATTTCATTAGAAATCATCCCAAAACAAGTTCTCTATTCAATTTGTTTTCTTCATTCTCTCACTTTGGGAATTCTAAAGAATTCTATTTGTTGTAATATTTGTTGATAGTGAAGTTATCATCCGGTGTGGTGCCCTAAGGAGTAGACGATATTCTCGTCGAAACTCGTAAATTTGGCATATTCTCTCATTTATTGTTTTTTATTCGGTTTTTCAATTGTGTTTAAATATTCAATAGTTTGACGGGTTTATCCGCTGTGCAACCTTTGGTGGTTTTAATCTTGATATTTTAGGTTAATTTTGAAACTACGTTCGTGTCAGAAATAACCCAGTTTCCCCACCAACAGGCTGATATGATAATACCACATGTACAGAGATGCTGACATAGTAAAATGAGACGTAATTCTACACCAATAGTCCCTTCACGGTTCTACACACTATAGGCGCTGTCGACCTTAATCTTCACTTGGTTTGGGCCTGGTCTACACCAACTAGCAATCCTCGAGATGGGGCAGAGACACTACTTGAGGCCGCTTTATGGGTGGTAAAGTCCGCATGTAGGATCATTGAGTTATCGAAGATCACCCGTGCTAGCTGCTATCGATCTTCATGGACATAAATGTTGCGGTGGTTCCAAACATTCCAAAGCATAACCACAATAGTTGTGAACCCGTCCATGTTAAAGTGTCGCATCAGCTCCTCTAGCCACTATCGTTCGTTTGTGCTTGTGCTTGCGCTGTTAAGAACTAGAGGATCATACACCACAAGCGAATACTTCCTTGGTACAACTGTAGTCGTGCAAGGCATGGACTATCTCCACTTCTTGTCCACAGAGTTTGCACAAAGCAGAATCACCCACAAGTTGTTTACATATAGAAGAGAGGAAATGAATGAATAGATTAGTTTGATTCATGAAAAGTTGATAGATATAAGTGAACAGACACAATGAATGAAGAGATGTAATATTAAACTAAAAGATAATAAAATGATACAATTTTTCGAAAGATAAAATTATTTATCAAGATATTTAATTATTCATCAAATACATTTATATTCAACGAGAGGTACAATTATTTTAAAAATAACATAATAATCCAACAAGCACTCGCTCTTTGACAATAACAAAGTTTAATACTCAATGGGCTTGGTACTTGCCCAACTTATAAAGAGAACTGGCAGCAGATTTTCAGTATGCCATACTGATATGATAACCAACCATACCACGACATCAACGTGGCTTTTTGCTCCCAATTAATAATAGTAATATATATTATGCAGAATCCATTGAGTGGCCTCGTAGTTAGAGGGCATGTTATTCTCTTTTGAGATATTGGGTTCAAGCAATTTGATCTGTAATAATATATATATGGTTATATGAGATTTCAATGACAAAAAATTTTGAGCAAATATTATTTTGTAATCGTATTCAAATATATATATTAAATGATGACCAAATATATGAAAAAAAGGATATTAATTAAGGTTTTGTTTGGTTAATGTTTGGGTTTGGTCTAAAACCTATGTTACCTCATTCACTGACGATTTTTGATTTGATACACATATTTCGAATACGAAAACACTAGCTATTCAATTCAGCAAAATTTACATTCCCATTAACATATAGGTTTTACTTAAAATTATTGAGTGAACCAATCAATTATTTACTTAGAGTTATGTCTTCTTGTAAACACAAAAATCATATATAAATTCTAAAAATTATATATTCCAATGTATCATATTTCGTTCCATGTTGGTGCACGGGTCAGTTGGAGGTACATTTATCAACTAAAATCTGAGAGTGGCCTTGGGATTAAAGATATCAAAACTTGGAATAAAAAATATTCTTACTGGGAAGGGCTCTTGAGATTAGAGACCATTTGCTTTTTTTAGTGATCGTTGGTTAGGAGTATTTGGGAGGCAATTTTGAGGTTCTGCGGTTTGTCTGGACAAATCATGTGTTGGGAGGAGGAGATTAAGTGGGCAGTTATTAGCCTCAAGGATAAATCGTCGCTTACAACTATCCTTAAATTAGCATGGAACGGTCGTGTTTATACCATATGTGATCAAAGGAAAATCAAAGGAAGTTGTTGTTAGGATTGTAAATGAGACGAGACATATCGCGAGCTATTCGAGATCGATTTGATCAAGGCTCGATAAATACTCGGGTCGAATGGACACAACTCGAGCTCGAATCGAGTTCTTAACTAGCCGAAACGAGCTACTTGATATTCGACTCGAAAAACTCGTGAGCAGCTCGAAAATATAATATATTAAGATTTATTTTTTTTTTAAATAAATTATTAATACTATTAACATTTATGTATTGATTTTTTTAAAATACAGTAAGATTTTCATGTATTTAAGGTTCAGCTTCGAGTTTGAGTTTGAGGCTTCAATCAAGTTAAGTTTAAGAAATTTTTTTTCTTCATTTCGAGCCTTTTCGAGCTGCTCACGAGCTTCAGTTCAGGATTTCGAGTTCAAGTCGAGCTTGAAAATTTTAAGCTCGCGAGTTTTCGAGTTGAATCTAACTCCATTTCAGAGTTTTCGAGTCGAGATCGAACTCAACAATACTCAAGTTCGACTCGGCTCGTTTACACCCTAGTTGTTGTCATTCTATCCACTGTTAAGGACATGGTGAGGATTAATCTTCAAGGGAGGAACATAGTTTTAATGAACTTTATTAGTGTTCATCTTTGTAATATGTGCGATATCCCTTGCTGAGTATTTTTAATTGTTGAATGCTTTGTTTAAACTGTAGTATATCACTGTTGTTTTTGGATAATATATAAAATTTATCCCCAAAAAAAATAATATTATTAGTTTTATGATATTATTTATTTCTATCTTATAACAAATTTAAATTGTGCTTGATTTTTATCATTATTTTTTTTATTTTTTTAATTCGATTTGATTATGAACAAACAAATTTTATAGGAAAAAACTAAAATCAAATTAAAATCAAACCGTAAAATAAAAAACATGAACTAAATTGAACTGTATGATTTAATCCAAATTACTTTTTGATTTTCTCCGTTTTATTACTCAAATCTACTTATAAGAAAGCCTTACGGGAGGTTCCATCCCTCCATCTTTACCTCACACCTCCTGCATCGAGTCCTCTCTCAAGTAGATGCGTCGGTTGCCTACTTGTGTGTATGTTGTCAGTGATTAAAAAAGATTTTAAATAAATATTACCTTGTAATCATTCTAGACTATTAAAAAATTACAGGAACAATACATTAAATATTATCTTAACTTATAATTAACACGCATCACCACCGTTAACAGTCACTGCACAACAAATATAATTTAATTAATTTGCATGATGATCAGCTGGCCAATAATTAATTAGGAGATGTATACAGATTGATTAATTTTGTACGTGGGATGAATTTGATCATGATTGAACCGGAGACCATCTTCATTCATTCTTCGTACGAGCCTGTACCATGAACAATTAGGCTATGATGATCGAGGTTTCCCATATACTCTTAGACCCACATAAGCCAGTAGCCTGTATCCGGCCAACATTATTATCAAAGCAACCGCATCCCACCACCTATTATCATAATCAAGACCCAAATGCTTGATTGCCGGAAAATCGATGACCTTGCAACGCCTCCCGACCTCACATTCGTACAACTCGTTCGCCGAGTACTGCACCCCGACCAGAAGTTTATAGCAGTAGTGACTAAAGGAGATGTATTTTAACCAAGCTATAAAATCAGGCATGTGGTGAATGTAGTATCCGCCCACTAATAGAAATACCAGCATGGTCACAGAAGCCAAGGTTGTGGCCTGTTTTACGTCCATTAGAATGGCTCCCATTGCCAGTCCTAGCGCTTGAGAGACAAGCACGTTTAAGAGTACGATCGAGAGTGTTAGAACAAATGTTAGAAGTGAAGGCTTGAGTCCACCCATCCAATATGTTACGGCCACGAATATCGTGGGAAGAACAAGCTCCATCGGCAAGTCTCCAGCTGTTCGGGCGATGTAATACGAGGATAAACGGTACATCCCCGACGATCCTTCTCTGATTAACATTGGACGTTCTTGTGGGAAGGTGAATATGGCATTGAACAGAGGGAAAAAGCCCCAGAATATTGAGAAGAAAAACAGAAGTCCCACCTGCAAACAAAAATATAAATTTACATATATGTACTGGTTTCGAATTAAGATTTCATGATATTTGGTACCTGATCTTGTATGTGGGAAGTATCGGAATGCCACCAGAGGAGGCCTGAAAGAACCGAAACCGACATGACTTGAAATATTCGTAGGCCTGAAAAGGATTCATGCTTCCTCTCTTGTACACCCCTTGTCAACAAGACCTTGAATTGTTCCCACCAGCTGCTGTTCCATTCAACCTCACTTGATTTCGATGATTTAGCTGTTGGAAAAGACGAATCTTGCAGATTCTGACTGATATCGGCCTTCAATGTAGGGTATATGTTCTTCTTGTAAGACGATATTAGGAACTGTTTAGTGGAATTTTGATCATCAGGGTGGTCTACTCTGCCATGAAATTCCAGTTGCTCGTCCGGTTTTACATCAGGGGCTATACCTGCTTGCACAAAACAGTCTTCAACATTGTGCAGATTTTCAACTTCTTAGACTATTCAAATAATCAAGCATAAATCATGGCCGATATCAAGGGGATGGTGGAGCTCCAATCGATAACAAGTACGAGTCAAAAGGGGAAACAACGAAAAGATTTAAAAGATAAAGAGACAAAAATTAATTAAAAAACCCAAAATTAATTAATTAGTTGACGACTTTTTGACTTAATCATTTCCCTTGACTTGAGTTACTTATTCGGTATGAGTTTAACAGTTAATATAAAGTAATAAAAAATAAATTTTAACCAAAAATTTATTAAAAGCATAACATTTTAGAATAAATTAGATAGTATTTTAGATTAAAATAGAAATATTATATTTTTTTTATAAAAAATCATGTAAATTACATAATTATTCCGATTATAACTTAATTAATTACCTATAAGATATTTTGTAATTGTAACCATGTCCTTTATTAATTGTGTAACTTTTTAATATAAACAATTAATATTTTATGCTAAAATCCGTTATAATGCAATATTCCTTATTATAACTCAAATTATTGTTAATTATATAAATTTTGTAATTAAACAAAATAATATTTAAAGTTAAAATTCACTGCAAATTAATTTTAGGTTACGCGGCCCCTACTTATCCAAGAGAGAAAATAAAAAAGTTGGGAGTTTTGGTTATGCCTACCATTAGCCAGATCAAGGAGAAAATCAGCAGGGTTCAAAAAATTGAAACTGGGTGTGAAACCAATGTAGCCGAAATAGTCCATGGCCTGATCCGCTTTCCCCCAATAAATGGGATACCCTTCGGAAAGCACCAGCACCTTATCAAACATCCTGTACAACCCACTTGAAGGCTGGTGAATGGTGGTGATGACAGTCCGGCCACCGCGTGCTAAGCCGCGTAAGGTAACCATAATTCTGTGCGCGGCGGTCGAGTCGAGTCCTGAAGTGGGTTCATCCAGCATCAACAAACTGGGGTTCACTAACATCTCCAAACCAACACTGACTCGCTTACGTTCTCCACCCGACACACCCCGAAGAAGAGGCCCACCGACAACATTGTTCCTACACCTTGCTAACCCGAGTTCCACTATAATCAGTTCAGCTTGCTCAATCTTTTCTTGCGTGGTCAGCTTTTTCGGCAGTTTCAATAAAGCGGCGTATGTCAGCGTTTCTAACACGGTGAGGTGGGGATACAACACATCGTCTTGAGCCACGAATCCTATTCTGCGCTTCACGGAACTGGAGAATGGCCGCCCATTGTACGTTATGGTGCCGGACATCTTCCCTGTTAAACGACCTCCGAGAGCAGTGAGGAGGGTGGTTTTACCACTACCGGATGGACCGAGCATTGCCAGTAGCTCACCGGGTCGAACCACACCGCTAACTCCATTCAGTACACTCGTTCTCGGCTTGGGTTTATGGGACGAGAAACAGCTCGCGGTTGTGGCACTAGAATGGATGCTGTAGGCCACTTCTTCGAACTGCAACCAATACACATCTATAATCATTTATGTACTCAAACTAATTAACGTGCAAGGTTATACGTAGTAGAGAATAAAGAACCTTGAGAGTTATAGGACGTAAAGATTGGGATAAAACTGAAAAGGGAAGTGGAGTTAGCGGCTGTTGTTGAGATGGGATCGGACGTTGAGAACACGGGACGACGTCTGCGGCTGAAGTGGACGGTTCGGCGTGAACGGAAACGAAATTCTCCGCCGTCCGGGTGGTTGTGAGCATGATGCTGGCAGGACTATTATGGATGGTGATATTGCTACTTTCTTGGTGAGGGGGCATCATAGTATTTTGATTTCAGGGGAAATGCCAAATCGTTGTAATTAAACTAGGCAAAAATGAGGAGAGCTCATGAGACGGGAGAATTAGAACTTGGCATGGAAGATGATTTACGACATACTTATAAAAAGATTTCCAGAGTTACCTAAGCCGGGACATGTACGTAATTTTTCTTCAAAGTCTTTTCCACTCGTCCACGTGTTTGGACAAAATTAATTAATTGTTTTTTCCAAGTTACATGTTGTAATCAAATTAATTGAATCCCAATAATTGAATCTATTCCGTTCCTAAAAAAAATTAGGTTTAAGCAATTATATCTGTAAAATATATAAGTTATTAATAAAATTCTTATCAACAATAAGTTTTCTAGTGAGATGATATACTAAATTTCTTAAGTAAAGTCAGGAGTTTGAATTTTGATGTTTGTCAATAGAGTAAATTGGACTAGGAGAGTCGTCCTTACCTTTGTAGTATCTAATTTATATTAATTTTTTAATAAATCAAATACCAGTGATTAATTAAAAAAATTAAAACTCAATAATCATACATTTTTGTTTAAGAAAATAAAAGAATTAAACACTTAAAGTCATGGGTGAATGCACGTATCCCATTATTTAAGGAAAACAATGAAATTTAGTATAATATATTAAAGAAAAATAAAATAAAAATAAAAATTTTTGCACTCAAATTATTTTTAAGAAAAAAAATTAAAATTTTAGATCCCATTTATAAATTTCTGAATCCGTCACTGATTAAAGTAATCACATTTGCCACGTAGCATGTTGTCCCCGTCTTCACAAATCCCTCCGCAGACCGCTGCCCATGCAAATAATAATGCATTATAGGACTTGGAATATAATATGTGTGTCAAATTGAAAATACGTTAATTATTTATTAGATAATAACTCTATTTTTGGATGAATATTTGAAGTTATATAGTATTAAAATTGATGTTGGTCAAAAGAAAATGAAATAAAAATAAAATCTCTTAAGAATAGAATAATATATATATCTTTGATTGGAAGAATCATCTTTTAAAAATTTGACAACTTAAAAGGAAATAGTATTTATATTAATTGTTTTATATTTAAACGAATGAGTACGTGTGGTGTTTGGAGACTCGAGTGGAGGAGAACCCAACCAACCCACTTTCTTTTTCGGATTTCACGAAAATAAAGCAATTCTATTAGGGTAAACTAAGCTTTTCATAATTTTATTTTAATCATTCGGTTTTAAAAATATTTAATTAGATTTTTTGATTTTTAAATTATTTCATTTTTTTACTCGACCGTTAAATTAAAAATAACAGAGTGACATTACATGTTTTTTTATGATGTGGGTTGTTTTCTGTTTATATGGAAGTCACCTCGTTTTTTTTTTATTTTTTCTAGGTAAAATATAAAAAAAATCTAATATTTGACTAAATAGTTACTTTGATTTCTATTTCCTTTTAGAATAGTTTGGCTTCCAATGTTATATTTTAGGGTAAAAATACCTATAAATTTTGACTAAACAGTGGCTTTGGTCCTTATTTTTTTCTAAAAGTATTCTGACCCCGAATATTTTATTTTAGGAGTCCCTATTTTAGACCGTTGATCGTTTATTGACTGATAGTTTTCATCTACATATGGGTTTTTGTCCCAAAATAAAATGTTGGAGGTCAAAATGATTTTGAAAAAAGAATAGGTACCAAAGTAACTATTTAGTCAAACGTCAAATACATTTTTTTGGTTTTATGTCTAATTTTAAAACTCATAAAGTTGCATCTTATCCCACGTTGTGGTCAACACTTTCGTTCTCTGACATTTTCTTTGATCATTCCAAACATTGAAGAGCTCGCCTCATCTTTTTTTTTGGATGAATCGAATTTTATTATCCAAATAGCATAGAAATTTTACAAAGCAATCAACCAATCTGTAACAAAGAAGACTAAAAACAACCTACTTACAACAAACACAGATTGATTAGACTATACCCCAAGCATTACAAAGGTTAACATTAGAACTATCTAATCTATTGATATTTATACCCTTAAGTTGAATACCAACAACTTCTTTAATCTTTTTCAGCATGTCTTCGATAGTTCTCTGACGACCTTGAAAAATTCTGTGATTCCGTTCTTCCCACAATAAGTATATAAATCCAGTCCATGAGATTTTCAAGATTGTGGTGAGAAGAGACTTACCTTTCCATGTCGAAGCAGCCGTAGCAACCATAACATCCCATGATAAAACAATATTATTTAATCCGTTGAGCGACATTATTGAATTCCAAAGACGAACAACAAGAGGGCATTGAGAAAAAAATATGATTTCTAGTCTCCTGCTCGATGTTTCAGTTAACACAAATATCATTAGAATTGATTCCCATTTTGAGTAACCGGTCTCTAGTAGGAAGTCTGTTCAGCAGTGTCATCCAAGTGATCAAACTATATTTTGGGATGTGCATTGGGAACCAGATAAGTTTGTGCCAAAAAACTTTCTCCCCTTTATTACGAATTGAATCCCAGATGTTACTAAGCTTTAATGAACCAGAAGAAGAAAGAATAGTGAAAGTTGTAGCACGCAATTTAAAGATTCTATTAACAGTCCAACTTATGTTAGAACCTGCAACATAATTTCAAAAATCATGGTCTCTCTAAAACTTGTACATATCACGTTTTATATATATTTTAATATATCAATTAAAGATACTAAGTTGATAATCGTTTAAAAATTCACAATTAATATACATACATACAGCTTATCTCATTTTCTTTGTTTGATTTTTCATTTAGGGGGTGTGGTGTATGGCTAAAGAATAAAAAAGTGAAAGTGCTGGGGTTACCTTACTTCCTCTTCCCGATGACATGCCCTTTAGTTTCTTTTTAGCTGTCACCCTCCCACTCAATTATCACAAATGTCCTCAATCATTCTTCTTTTATATGATTATTGCGAGGGTTAACTTGTTTAAATTAGTAGGGATTTTTTTTAAAAAAATCACAAAAAATAAGAGGAGAATTTAATTTATTTAATTTTAAAATTGATAGATATAAAAATAATAAAATTAAAGTAGCAGCACAGCATATGGTGGTTTAATACGTGACCATACCGGAAAATAGATAAGAGGATTCTACAAGTTCATTGGAGCATGCTCGATCCTAGAAGCGGAAATGTGGGGAGCCTACATAGGAATGTTATGTGTTAAGGATATAGGATTACACAGTTAGAGATTGAATTAGACAGCTTAGTCGCCATCCAAATGTTGCAAAAGAAGTCTGACAGGAAAGGCTCACCGAATATCCTACTCCATATCCGAGAACCGGAGAAGAAGGAATGGGTGGTGCGTTATAAACACATCCCGCGCAACGGAAATAGAGTGGTCGACTTCATGGCCAAATACGAGACTCCACCGGACTTAGAGGTCCACTCCTTCCCAGTTCACCACCAGTCGTATCAAGCTTGCTTCTTGAAGATGAAGCCTCTGAGTAACTGAGCTGCAACAGCTCTCCTTTATTTCCCAAAAAAAAATAGAACTAAAAAATTAGACATAATACTAAAGTTAGTCTCCCACATTTATTAAAATGATCATTTTAGTATTTACTTTTTTTTAGAGCATGTTGACCTTCAATGTTTCGTTTTGAGGTAAAAAGATCCTTTTATGAATGAAAATCGTTAGCTAACAAACGGTTAAGGTTTCAAAATAAGAGTTTTTTATCCTAGAATGAAATGTTGGAGAGCCAAAATGCTCGAAAATAAAGGAATAAGGGTCAAAGTGATTATTTAGTCAAACGTTAGAGATTTTTTTTGTCCTAAAATGAGACTTTGGGCCAAAATGCACCAAATAAGCATAAGAATCAAAAGGACTAGTTTGATAAATGTAGATGACTAACTTTGGTATTATGCCAAATACTTAAGATCAAGAATGTTTCCATCATCAACAGTAAATTCTTCCCTTCCTGCATTCCGAGCTTCTTTATATTTATGTTTTCCATTTATTCCACCCCATTCCATATTATACCCAACCAATTAATGCGTGTCGATTAATACATGTGATTCTCTCATAATTAAAGGGTTTTTTTTCTTCCTACTTTTGGTTCCATTAATATTAAAGGCATGCATTATGCATATGTTTGCTTTGATATTTTCTTTATTTGCCAATTACAACATAAAATCTAAAATATAATGCCAAGCATAACAAAATCCAACGGTTTTAAATAAATAAGTGTAGCTGAAATACCCAGAATATTTGGAGAAAGGATTACATCAGCATCCATATTTTTTGAAGGGAAAGTTGTGTGTGGAATAATATATTCATCCTGACAAGTATTTGCTTTTACTTTGGAATACTTTGTTTCCAAAGGGGTTATTTAAGAATTTATTGTTTTTATAAATTATTGTTCAATAATATTTTCACTTTCAATGTGCTTTCAAAGAAAAATAGAAAAATAAGTTGAATTTCCAAAAAAAGATAAAGATAAAGGTAGTCATCGTTATTGAATTAGATAAATTAATCTTTGTTGGTGATCCATAATCACTTTTATCTATACTAATAATATAAAATAAACCCATCAGGTCGTCATTACTAAAAGAGGAGGAAATATGATTCTGTGGTGTTGTACATTTCCCAAGTGTCTTTGCCTTTGCCTTTGCTTTGCATAATCCCTTCTTTTGTTCTGCCATCAATCAAATTCGAGACACTGCAAACGCAATGCAACTTTTACACCTCGATGCTTTCGTTTGATTTGATTTGATTTTATTTGCTGAGTCATCTGATTGGCGTTGCCGTGGTTGGTTTGATTAGTATAGCCTTAGACCTCTATTTATCCCATTCTCTACTAAACTTGGAATCTGGTTGACTTTTATGATGTGGGTTGTTTTCTGTTTATATGGAAGTCACCTCGTTTTTTTTAATTTTTTCTGTTTATTGTTTTCCCAATAATTTTAAGGTAAAATATAAAAAAATTCTAATATTTGACTAAATAGTTACTTTGATTTCTATTTCCTTTTAGAATAGTTTAGTTTCCAATGTTATATTTTAGGGTAAAAATACCTATAAATTTTGACTAAACAGTGGCTTTGGTCCTTATTTTTTTTCTA